CCAGCGAAAGCACGACAACTATGAGCACCACTTCGTGAACGAGAAGACAATTCATGACTCAATCACAAGTCATTCACAGCTTTTCACAACATTAGTACACGTGTAGACACGAGTCACGCATGCGCTCAACACCACTGTCACCCCCGCCGCCCCTCCGCCCCCTCCGCCGCCCACTTAAATGTCAAACTGATTGTGAATTTGTGGTCAAAATGTGTTTCAATTTGTATACGAAATGATTGATAGGAAGCGCTTGTCTTTTGCCTACTTTTCAAAACTTTGAATAATTCCTAAAAGTGTTTATCAAATGTCAAACACTTGTAAATGGATTTAGTAATTAATTGTCATTAAAATGATTACAATTGCAGTAATTATGGGATAAGACATGATATTTGGCAATAAATAATGCATTTCTAATAAGTTGTATAGTTTTGAAATCGTGTTTCTTTACCAAACTTTACGAACAAATAAGAGAACCCTAAAGACGTGTCAATCATTGAAATGTCACACATGTGTCCATTTGCTCATTCATTCAGTATTAGTTGCCTCAATCACAACCACATCTGATTTTTAGTCAACAACACTATTCTTAATAACTAAACATCATTTTAAAACTCATTTATGGCATTAAACTTAAGCATTGAAAAATGTATTTAAACTCATTGAAAAACTTTCATTTTTGTGATTTTCATATCAAATGCTGTCAAATACTATGCGTTTTAACATTATTTTCAATTATTAAGAATAGTCTTCATATGTGAATATATGCGTCAAATTCATCAAAAATACAATTTGCGGTTCAAGTGTTCACAATTAATAAAACCCGAATACCATTGAGATTTTTGTCGCAAAAAATAATAGAAATTGAATTAAAAACGGCTTAAATTCGTGTTATATTAATATGCGTTCAAATGACACGACATTCGGCACAAAATTGGGAATAAATACATAGAATTGAATTGAATTGAATGCACACAACGTTAAATGCATTGAAAAGTTGGATTAATTGTGATTCACAGACATTCACCACAAGTCTATGCATTACATGTATTTATTCCGAATTTTATGCATAATTCGGTCATTTCTAACACAATTCGCACATTATTCGCAAAATACGTGTATTAATATGAACATGGGCTGAATATATGTGCATACCAAGCAGAATGGGCTAGGTCATTTCTGATACAAATGTATTCCTTTTTAAGTGTTGAATGAACGCATAAAATGAACTTAAAATCAATCATTTTTATGATTTTCATAGCAAATGCTAAATACAATGAATGAGTTAAACATTGCCTCCGGCGAAGTCATATGACAATTGTTAGATAATAATTCAGTGCATTTATAGTACACTTCACTACAGACTGTACTCAAAGTACTTAATTATTAGTGCTTTCCCTTGAATTGCAAACCAATTGGCAAACACTTCACAATCACTTCCACTCTTATTGACCACATTATAGACATTACTGTTATATTTCATTTGAGATCAACTTTTTTGAGACCAACTTTTGAAAAGAAAAAGTTTTGAAAGATTCACGAAAAAGTTGTGAAATGCTTGACAATGCGTGCCATCTGTTGAGTGTTTGAATGGAATGCAAAAGTAATCGATTCATAAAACCCTGAAAAGTGAGTGAAAAGTGTTTTTCGAAAACTAATTGAAAACAAATTCATAACAAAAAGTGTTTTCCAGTGAATGAGGAAATAAAACACATTTCGAAAGCCATTAGTTTTTTCGTTTAGTTTTTCGCTTATTTTGTGATTAATGTCGGAATCAAACGCTAAGAGCGATGCCGTCGTCGCCGAAGAGGTGGTCTCGCAGTCGTTGACATCACTGCTCTTCGGATCGCCACTCAATACAGTCCTCACTCTTGTGAGCTTATTTTGTGATTAATGTCGGAATCAAACGCTAAGAGCGATGCCGTCGTCGCCGAAGAGGTGGTCTCGCAGTCGTTGACATCACTGCTCTTCGGATCGCCACTCAATACAGTCCTCACTCTTGTGATCGCTTTTCTCGTCTACAAACTGATAGCCAGAGGACGACAGAAGAGAAATAGCTGTGAGTATTGTCTCAATTGGTGTCCACTTGTTAACCATCTGTACTCCTCTTGTCATCACTCGTCGCGCATCGACAGCCGAGTCGGAGGAACCAGTGTTCAAACTGCCGGAACCGCTGCCCAAACATGACATGACTTTGGATGAGCTGAAGAACTACGACGGAAAGGGAGCCGACAAACGGATCTGTAATTTGATTGATTGATTGTTTGATTGCTTTTAACGGCCATTCCTTTGACAGGTATTGCAATTCTCGGCAAAGTCTACGATTGCACTAAAGGTTAGACTCTTTTGCACTAAACCTCTGATAAGAGGTTTACAGCGTTTGTGATAACAAATGGCCTTCACTTGCAATGTGTTATATGTGTTGAATAGGCCATCGTTTCTACGGTCCGGGCGGTCCGTACGCGCCTCTGGCCGGACACGACGCGACGCGAGCGTTGGCTCACTTCGATGTGGAGGCCGTGAAGGACGAGTGGGACGACGTCTCGGATCTGACGCCGTATCAGATGTCGAGTGTCAACGAATGGAAGGAACAGTTCTCCGAGCGCTACGACTACATCGGGAAACTCGTGAGGGATTCGAGCGAAAAGAGTGATCTAATCGGCGACGAAGACGAAGAGGAGAGCGTCGAAAGCCATTCGTAATCGCGTTTCTATTTTTGCAAAACAACTATTTTTCAGATTTTGGTTTTTGTTATTTTAGTTTATTTTACGANATCGGGAAACTCGTGAGGGATTCGAGCGAAAAGAGTGATCTAATCGGCGACGAAGACGAAGAGGAGAGCGTCGAAAGCCATTCGTAATCGCGTTTCTATTTTTGCAAAACAACTATTTTTCAGATTTTGGTTTTTGTTATTTTAGTTTATTTTACGAATACTTTTAAATCGTTTTTATATTCGGTTTAGTTTTTCTTAAAACGATTTATTTTCTTATTATTTTTCAAATGTAAATCCAGTTCCAGTTGTTGTCAAACAAAACACAAATAAATTATTTTATAAAAAAAGTGACAATTATTTGCGGAAAAAAGTGAAACTTTTGATGACTTGTGTTTAAAAATGCATTTCATTTCATGTGAAAACTTGAGTCTCATTTGGAAAATGGTTTTCAAAAACTAATATTCATTGAAAGTATGAAAAAAGTTTGTTTGAAGCGAAGGAATGATAGGAAAAAAGTTGAGATAATGTGAAGGTCTGTCACAACGCCTATAGTTTGATATCAAACTCAACGGTGTTTTGCAATCAATGGTTGGAAACAGAAATGTCTACTCATTTAGCGTTCAGTTCTTTCAACCCTTTGATCACAGCCTCGAGTCGTGTCATGTATTGCGAGATGTCTTCAAAGAAATCGCATTTTTATGCTTTCAGAGAAAAAACAGGAATTTTTGCAAAACATTACAATTTTTCCCTTAATTTTGAATTCAAACACAATTTCAGACAAATTGCACGAGAATTGCGTCATTCGGTCGTTGAATGAGTCATTCATTGCTATTAACAATAGTTTAGTAATCGTTAGAAATCTATTCGAATCAACGTTTGGTTAGCGTTCGAGTCATGGATTGAACCGTTAGTCTGAAGCAGAGGTGGAATGAGTGCTGAGTTGTGGACGTAATTGCTGTGAGTGTTGAGTGCATTGTTTGGAAATGTCGGACAGTTTGCCAACAATTATGTCTTCGCAGTGATGTCTGGATCAGGTGGTGAGTGGACGCCGTCTCTGGGCATCACTGCCCCGATCTCGACGTCGGAGCCGTCGGACAGCGATGAGCAGCGGTCGCGAGAGTTGTCGTCATGTCTTCGTTCGTTCGGCCTCTTCGAGAGCGACGAAGAGATGGAACACCGGATGAATGTGTTGTCGAAACTGAACGAAACGGTGCAGACGTGGGTCCGCGACGTGTCCTCCAAGAAGATGCCGAAACAGAACGCGGAGCTCATGTCCGGCAAGATCTTCACGTTCGGGTCGTATCGGTTGGGCGTTCACACGAAGGGCGCCGACATCGACACCCTTCTGGTGGCGCCGCGACATCTCGACCGCTCCGACTTCTTCGTCACTTTCCACGAGATGTTGTCTCAGATCCCGAACTGTGAATACGTTCGCGCCGTCGAAGAGGCCTTCNCACAAGAGTGAGGACTGTATTGAGTGGCGATCCGAAGAGCAGTGATGTCAACGACTGCGAGACCACCTCTTCGGCGACGACGGCATCGCTCTTAGCGTTTGATTCCGACATTAATCACAAAATAAGCAAAAACTAAACGAAAAAACTAATGGCTTTCGAAATGTGTTTTATTTCCTCATTCACTGGAAAACACTTTTTTGTTATGAATTTGTTTTCAATTAGTTTTCGAAAAACACTTTTCACTCACTTTTCAGGGTTTTATGAATCGATTACTTTTGCATTCCATTCAAACACTCAACAGATGGCGCGTATTGTCACGCATTTCACAACTTTTTCGTCAATCTTTCAAAACTTTTTTCTTTTCAAAAGTTGGTCTCAAATATACGTAATGTCTATAATGTGGTCAATAAGAGTGGAAGTGATTGTGAAGTGTTTGCCAATTGGTTTGCAATTCAAGGGAAAGCACTAATAATTAAGTACTTTGAGTACAGTCTGTAGTGAAGTGTACTATAAATGCACTGAATTATTATCTAACAATTGTCATATGACTTCGCCGGAGGCAATGTTCAACTCATTCATTGTATTTAGCATTTGCTATGAAAATCATAAAAATGATTGATTTTAAGTTCATTTTATGCGTTCATTCAATCCTTAAAAGGAATAAGTTTGTATCAGAAATGACCTAGACCATTCTGCTTGGTATGCACATATATTCAGCCCATGTTCGTATATGTATTTTGCGAATAATGTGCGAATGGTTAGAAATGACCGAATTATGCATAAAATTCGGAATAAATACATAGATTTGTGGTGAATGTCTGTGAATCATAATTGATCACAACTTTTCAATGCTTCTAACGTTGTGTGCATTCAATTCAATTCTATGTATTTATTCCCAATATTGTGCCGAAAGTCGTGTCATTTAAATGCATATTAATATAACACGAATTTAAGCCATTTTTAATTGAATTTCTATTATTTTTCAACAAAAATCTCAATGATATTCGGGTTTTATTGATTGCGAACATTTGAACCGCAAATTGTATTTTTGATGAATGAACTTATTTGACGCATATATTCACATATGAAGACTATTCTTAATAATTGAAAATAATGTTAAAACTTATTCATATTATTTGATAGCATTTGATATAAAAATCACAAAAACGAAAGTTTTTCAATGAGTTTAAAATTTAAACTTTAAATATATTTTTCAATGCTTGAGTTTAATGCCATAAATGAGTTTTGATTTTTAGTTATTAAGTTTTAAATCCCTAACCTGTGGTTCAGTCACACAAAAATAGACATTCAGAGTCTGATTAATTCAAATATGACTGGATATGTAATATGAGCAAGGTGTCTACGTTAGTAGCAAATTATTGCTCATAATGGT